TATTTAATACATGAATAAATATTAATTTATTGTGTAAGCTGCGCTAAGACTCTGAGACTAAAGTCATAAAAAAATGAAGTAATCACACATTTTCAAAAATGACTTACTAACCATCTATTATTTGTCACTTGCTTATATAACACTGGACCTTCACCTCTATGAATTGAAATACCCCGATTGCATGGTGATAATGCTTGTTCTCTATAATTTACAGGATTATCAAGAGGGTAAAATAAGAGCTTATTTGGAGGCATTTATGCGCATCACCAAAAAGAGTCCTTCTCTTTGCCTGACCCCAGGAACCACTGGGAAATAACAGGCCTGTTCCGCTGGGTCACCTAAGTATCCTCGTCGACTCTACAGCACTAACCATTAGAGTGAGTATGTGCCAGAAACTACACATTACTACCTGACTTAACCCCCAGAACAGCTCTGTGACTTAGATGCATACATCTCAACTGTACCTATCACAAAATTGGAGTGGTTAAGTAAATTGTCCAAAAGCACCAAGATCTGTCAAATACTTAAAGCCACCATAGTACTAGCTTTTCTTTCTTCCTGCGCATATAACAATGGGGAGGAAAAAAAAAAACACGGAATTAAAATCCATGCAAAAACAACTACCCTGACCAGCTTGGCTCGGTGGATAGAGCGTCGGCCTGCGGACTGAAGGGTCCCAGGTTCCATTCTGGTCAAGGGCATGTACCTTGGTTGTGGGCACATCCCCAGTAGGGGGTGTGCAGGAGGCAGCTGATCGATGTTTCTCTCTCATCGATGTTTCTAACTCTCTATCCCTCTCCCCTCCTCTCTGTAAAAAAAAAAAATCAATAAAATATATTTTAAAAAACTACAAAAATCACCTTAGTGGCACGTACGCAAAAACACCCTCGGTGCGCTCAGACATCGGGATCGGCCTTTCCCTCCAGGGCCTACCTGCCTGCCCGCCTCTCTCCAAAACCTGTCACACAACCTGCGAACGTCACGTGGCTTCCTGTTTGACGGCTGCCCGCTCGGGCGGGGAAACAGCTGATAAACAACCCGCACTTCCGCGTCCCTTCCCATTGGCCCACCACGGGGCGGGGCTTGCGAGCCTCGAGCCTCACTGGCTACAAAGAGCTTTTTTTTTCTTTTTTTTCTCCTCCGCAGGCCCCGTCCGAAGAAAGGGGCACAACCACCAGCCTAAATCACCGGGACTGTCAGAGCCCAGGGCAGTGTCGGGGGGCGGCCCAAAGGGGTTCAAGGTCGCCGCGGCCCTGCCTTCCGAGTGACACCGGGGGCGGGGGCCCGGCGTGTGTCCACGTCCCGGCGGGCGGAAAGCCCGTTTCATCCCACGGACGGTGGAGGGAACCCTCCTCGCCCCCACGTACGTGAGCGCGCGGCCCCACACCTCACGCGCTGATTCAAAGCTGGACAGAGGCGATGAGGTTCCGCGGAAAAGGAGCCGAAGGAGGGGACCAGAAACCCCAACGTCGGGCGACTCGCGGCGCCCCCACGGGCAAGCCCCTCCCCTGCTCCGTGCGGTCCCCGCACCCGCACCTGTTCCTTCTGCCGACCAGGTGGCTGTCAATTTGTAGCCAGGACCCCAGCGCAACCTCGGCCTCGCGGGGGCTGCATTAGGGCAACAGGTGTTCCCCATTCGGAACTCCAAAGGGAAAGAGCAGCAAGACGGGGTTCGCCTTCGGAGCCGCCGAGAGCTTTTCAAAAGCCCGGGTTTCCAGGTCTAAGGCGCGCAGCGAGGGTTCCCACCCCGGGGCCCGTTGGGGGGGGATCCCTGAGGGTGCCCGACCC